TTGAAAGTAATCAGTTCAATTTCTCTAGGTTTTGTAAAGTGAAGATGGTCCCGGGAAATCGGGGAAGATTTTCAAACAGATAGGCAATACTGTGCATAAGCTTTGCACATGGAAGTTCCAGGGGATCAAGGGTTCTGGCACGGGCGACTTACTTTCGTCAAGTTCTGCGAGAGGAGCTTTGATTTCTAATAAACCCAGTTCATTTTGTTCTAATCCCGGCGGGATGACTGCGAGCCATGAAAAGCGAGACGGTGGAGCCTGAATGGGAGGTGCGACGAGAGACTAAAGACAATTTTCACTCTATCGTCGTCCGACACCACGTTGTGGCCCTCGAGCGTCGCAAAAACCACAGGAATTGAACGGTGACGTACCATGAATGATCGATTATCGATATCTCCGCATTTGAATCCGTGGTAAAGAATCGATTATTAAGGTGCTCGTCGCGAACACCCTGTCATCGATTCTTTTCCATAGGTTTAAATGACGGATCAATCGATATATCGCTAAGCACGCTATTCCGCTTAAATTGAAACGATATTTTGAGATGGCTCGATATGCGGAGGCGTAATATACGTATCAGGTGGCTTGCAATGTACACTTTGCTCCTTTTAAATTAAGATGGTTGATAACATCAACTTTACGGGAGTTAATTCCGTGATTGACTGAAGTATTGTTAACATATATTCAATACTTGGTGGAGAACGTGTTTTCTGGGAGTGTCAATATTTTATATTGAAATAATCAATCCTGAAGTTCATCTCTACTAAAGGCTACGCCTACGCCTTCTGACCGCTACGCGGCCACACTCCCCTCGCGTTTTTGTGAGTCCGGCTCACGTCCTCAGCGCGACTGACCGGTTTTGAAAATTCTTCTTGTGGTTTATTTGGCTTTTATGCGTTGAACATTTAACTGATCAGTTTGGCGAGAGGTTGACCTGTTTACTTTCGCCATCCGGTCGCATCTCTTGCCAAATTTTTGTTGTCCTTGTTTGTCAACGCTTTAAAGAAATATCGTCCATCTCCGATAAGTCAGTGTTAAAAATGTTATTCATGTTCATTGTACAAGAAAATGCTTCCCCATATTCGTGGTCTGTTACTACCAGTGACTTTTTAAATGATTCATGTTCAACAAGAGATATTTCATGGTCGTTTCCCATGAAGACTGTCCATAGAAAACAAACAAACAAGCAAAAAAAGAACATTGCTTACCTATTCAAAACCAAATTGACCACTTCATAAAACACAGCTTATAGGTATCATTTCCTACCTAAAAGAATTTTAAAAATCATCAAATAAAATGGGAATGAAAGTAGGCACTCACAAAATCAAGATTCTGAACAGCAAAAGTTTGTCAAGTCGAACAACGCTTTTGACAAAAATCCGCCGCGGTCGATTTTTTTTTCGGTCCCCCAGACTCTCCCATTGAAGAAACGGTGCCAAAGAACTAAGCCTTATTTAATTTCGGGGGTTTTTGTGCCGAACAGAGAGCTGCTTATATCGAGGAAATATTCGGGTCTTTTCGTGAAAAGACAAACCGTGTTTTGTAAAATGGAAACCCCCCAAGTTCCACAAAGGATCCAGTTAACTGTCTTATTCTTTGGTCGAAATAAAGTTGGAGTCACAAATTCAAGCACGCGCTTTTCCAACCCCCGGCAATAGAACTAACCTCATTCGACTTTTGATGCGAGAACACATTACAGGCACAAATTGGAGTAAAGCGCGTAGAAAACTCCTCCCCCACACTGAGAGGAACTTTCCTTGACAGCCAATTACGGCGTATAAGCTCATCCTCTCCATGTGGCACGAGGACATCTCTTTTTTGACTCGGTGGTGGTCGATAGAAAGGCAAAATTTTCTGACTTCAAAACTACTGGTGAAGCACTTCGATGACTAAAAGCAAAGCCCGCCTCTATCTCCATTGCGTTTTATAACACATTTCCGCTCGTATTTTATTCTTTCGAAGAGATGTAAGTTGATTTAATGGCTTGTTTATTTATAAAATATTCTGCTCACAAAAAATAAAAAATCATCGAAGTTTTCAAGAAAACATGTTGACTAGTTTTCCAAAAAAAAAAAAAAAAAAAAAAAAAAAAAACAGCAGAAACTCTGGGAAGTCGCAAACCGAGATACATGGTTTCACACTTTGGACATCGACTTGCTATAATATGCTTGGCAAAAGTTGTTGCGCACGTTGAGAGCCCCATTCCGCTATGCTGAGGAAAAACACAGTATGAGCATTCAAGGGTTGACACATTTCCCCTTACAAAATATTTATTTTTGAAGAGAGTCGTAAGTATTTTTCCTTGAAATTTGCAGATACTTCGGATTGATTTGCGAGTAAAATTCCTTGCAAATTTGGAGGAAAAACATTCGCCAGTTCTTCAGAAAATAAATGTTTTTTCACAGGAAATTTGGCAACGTCTTAAGGCCCATATAGCATTCTTCCTTAGAACGGCAGAGTGGGAGGCTGCAATTAGATCAAAGGCACTGCTTGAAAGTTGTCAGCACTGTTTATCCCCCATTTGAGTGTATGTAATACATCGACCCTTGGTGAGGCAGCTTGCCTCACCTAAAATCGATATTTTTAATGGATTTAAATGGAATAAAACAGTGTTGTCAACCTGCAAAATCACTACTGAATTATAAACATCAAATATTAACCACCCGAACGTTTTGCAAAACGCGGAGCTTTAAAAGGCTTTGATGCCACGCCGCGGTGTTAAAATTATCTTCGTGTTAGTGCGTAGGCGCTGCAGTTGAAGGTCATCGCCGAAAATCTGATTGCCTTGAAAATTGGCTGATCGAAAGAGTACCAAAAAACACTGAAAAAAAATCATAAATTCACAAGAGTACTACAAGACCAAGTTGAATCCAAGGCAATGCTGATAAAAATAAGTTCACATCGATTGCCAAAGTGCGACTTTATAGCTTGAAATAAACATAGTGCGGCCGCCGCGCGCCGCGCTATTTTACGCGAACTTACTTCACTCGCGTCCTGGCTTTATCTAGAAATTCAGTACTAGTGCCTATCCTACATTATCTCAAAATTTACGATGAAAAACATTCACTAAACTTCTGAAAAATTAGCTAGTATTTTCAAATGGTTAAGTTACTGCTTTAAAAAAGGCTGCTTTAAAAGGCTAAGTCAAATTTTACCGAACTGAATTAAGTAGTAAAAATACCAAAATTAGAGCTAATAGATCTAATCTTATTCTCTGGATAACGCCAACAAACATTTTCCAGGTGACATGACAACAAAAAGAACGTAAAGAGTAAGTTAAAGAGGTGGGCGTAAAGGTAATAAGCGTAGCACGAAAATTGATGCCACTTAGCGGCGGTCAGTGTTCGAATGAACGAAAGTACACACATGTTCGGGAACAACATCGATAAAATGTCGCCTCAAATAAAAAAGCGATGGGTCAAGGTTGGCATTTCACGAGTAGGTTTAAAGGGGTACCACGGAAAAAGGTCGATCCACGTCTTTCAGTGGGACATAACCCTCGGAAGTAGGTACTTCAGGCCAGTGAATGATATCAATGAGGAGTATAAAATGGCGTTGGGTAATAAAGAACAAGACAAGAAACCTACTCGTCAAGTTAGAAACGTCATGCACCAAAAAACCAACACCGTAAGCAAATTCTGCGAAATATTTTAAGCGTGAGGGGATCTTTATATACATATCTCGGGAAAATTAAATACAAGCAAAGTTTAGAAAAATGCTATCAAGATACTGTCTCCTTTTTCTACTATCATATTGTTAAGAGCACTTAAATATGCTAATTTTACCTCTTTTCTTTAACGCCTGAATAGTTACATTAATTTAGAACAATTCAGCGAGCATCCCAAAAATAAAGAATAGATAATTTTTTTTTTAAAAAAAAAGCTGTTAAACGAGGTTCAAATCCATCGATCGAGCGTGTTGGAATGGTAGGAAAAGCGCAGCAGACGATTCAGTTTGGCGTTTCGGCCAATTAAACTGTTTTTCGTCGTGCAAAATTGATGAGCCTGGTGGCGGAGAGATAGGATTGGAGGGGAAGGGTAAATCGATCGTGTGGGAGCTATTTTAGATTCCTGGTGGTGTGACCAATGTTTACCTCGTGACGCTTATATTTGAGGCTCAGCGATGCAGGTAAACACTCGTGCATTGATGCGCACGAAAACATATTATGATAAGGATTGCCCAGGGCTCATTCCAAAAGGAGTGACACATTATTGAATAGAGGTGTTTTCGGGAGTACCCCTAAAAAGAGGTGGAATTTCCTCTTTGAGAGAATTAGTACTGATTTCTGAAATAAGTATAGACCCCGGCATATATTTACAGACGCTGTAAAAAGTGTTTGTAATCTTGATATCACATGAAGCTTCAGTGTATCATACCTAAAGGAAGCTCAGAGCTCATTTTCGATGAATGCAGTTATGCAATTCATTGCATTCATAAACTTTTCGTCATAAAAGTTCAATAGCAGCTTTCACTTTCTTTCTTCTTTTTTGAACCCGAAATTTCGTGGACTTAACCGGTCAATACATGCACTCAAACCGAATGAGGCATTTGTTAATTCAATTTTTTAATTTATAAATTCTTGTGATTTTGGAAAGGGAAATAATTGTCGGCCAATGAGGATAAAGCGATAATTATAATAATTTTTTGTAAACACACTATTATTTATGGCATGTCTATAACCAATATGAAAAATGCCAATCAAACAAAAGTTAAACTCATGGAGCTTGTAAATGAGCGTAGGTAAAATATACGCACGTACCTGCTAATTGGTCTAAAAAGTCAACCAAAACTACTAAAATCTTATGGCGAGCCTGTTTTTCACGGAAATATTTACGAGTCTTTGCCAATCGAGACTTATTTCCAAATTCAATGATCGCTTTATTTATGCCCGAGGGAGTTCACGGGATAGTTCCCACAATTTTCAATTGGTCGCCGAATGGAAAAGCAAATCTTCTCAAAAGTATGAACCCACTCATCCAAAATGACATAAAGTGGCTTACCTTGTTTCGGGAAAGTCTCGGATAGCCCGCTACTTCACCATTTTGCCCTCTTACATGTCCACTGTTGGCTCATCTGAAACACATCGCGTAAATTCAGCATAAAACTTGTGCTCAGTACAGTGACAAACCGATCACGGTGCAAACGATTTTGTTCAAACCGATTATTGAAGATAATAGCGTAAAGTAAGCGAATGAAATCGACAATATCCCATGCGGTTATAAAGCCGTATTATACCACACCCGCCGCCGCCGGGTGTGGTAAGCCGTACTTACCACAATCGAAATTAATGATTTCGTTCCAGCAGCGTCATAAGATAAAGTGAATCACGTTATCTTGAATGAGATTACACTTAGGTATTAATGACCGTATAGTCATTAACCGATGGAACAACTAAAGGGAACTATGTGCATATGGTTTGCATGCAACATGGTTCTTTTTAGCATAAATGGAGCGCGTTAAGTAGAAGGAACCAAGCCACATCAGCAGTTGCCAAATCCAATCGGGCAAGTTAATTTTTTTCATAAAAACGGGTGTGCGAATTTTGGTGCGTATTTCAGTGAATTTTCTGCATAGCACGAAGCAAATTCCTCGGAATTTTCAAAGGAATCCGCACAAACGTTCTCTCGTAAAGAAGTAAATTGCCCGATTAAATTTGGCAATCGCTGATGTGGCCTGGTTCCTTTCTGCTAAACGCGGTTCAAATATGCCCAACTCATGACACTCTCACTAGACAGTCCCCGAAACAATGTTGTAGAGCAAAATGTATTCTCACAATTGGACGTAATTCTATCAAATGGAACTATATGCATTAAGATATGAGCCCTGGGACCCATAAGAATATGTGCGTAACAGGGCTCACATCATAATGCACATAGTTCCGTTTGATAGAAATACGTCCAATTAATCTGCCGCAAAAAGTAAAGCAGAAGAATTCCATCCGGAGTTGGTGGCTTTTATTTAAATGGTTACCGTCTTTAACATATTTTTATCACTCTCTTTTGGTTAGAAAAAGGGGGCATTAGAGTAAACTTAAGCGGTGTCCGAAGATAAGTTAATAAAGACGTTACAAATCAAAAGGATATCCACGAAGAGAAAAGGTTTGTCCCCTCTCAGAAAGTTTTACCAACGAATGATCTTTCAATTCATTTATTTATGGTAACGACTAATAAAAACATGGAACTTTCAATCATTATAGGTACTACAAAGTCACTTACCATCTATCCTAAATTTCGATTCTTTGTCACAGTCCATTCTACCGTTCTACTGGGCCAACTTCCATGATTTTTTCGGCAACCAATAGGTGATGGTCCCTACATAAACGCACATTTCATATTTTGACAATAATATCTACCTAGATGTGTGTATATTATGTGATGAAGTTGTGAATTTTCCCATTTAAACATTATAAATTTTCATTCTTTCCACAGTTTGTTCTAAAGATCTACCGCACCATCTTCATGATTTTTGAGGCTATTGATAGAGGGAATTCCTCAAATGAGCCCGCTCTATTCGGATCAACACACTGGGAGATTAACTAATCGAGGGTTTAGCCCAATAGCGGCCAGGGGCCGTATACCCACTGGTAATTTTTAGCTTTTATTGTTATCGAGTGTTTTATGAGGTTTCGTCCCAGTTTGGCATCTTTATTCACACGATTCTCGCAAGAAAAGTCCGTCCTGTGAAAGTTTAAGTAGCTTTTCATAAGTTTCAAAGACAGTTGAGAAAGTCCACGGCACAGTTTCTTCGGAAAAGTTCAATACAGCCAACATTTACTACACTGAAGAAGTTAGCAAGTAGAAGTATGGGAAGGAGAAATAATAGGAAGAGGTTGAGAAAGAACTGTAATAGCACAATATATAGGTTCTTACGTATCTGCTTCTAGAACTTAAGACAGACCTAATCTTGTCATTTCTTGTTTAGAGCGCAATGTACAATGTTCTGGTAAAATCAAAAGTATGACCAAAAATTCTGTGCAATCTCATGAGCTATAGGTACACTGGTAATAACTTTGTATTATATCGTCATTTTACCCTAAAACAGGTGGTTAGAGGACGAGTGAGATTCGACCGATGCAGTGAATTAATTATTAATTAGGTTATATTTAATTGCTTTTTTCATTGAAAAACGGAATTTTTTTCTTTTCATTTAGGTACTTAAACACGGAGTTTCAGACCAATCGTGCCAGGCTTTTTTCTCGCACTGGGAAGAAGTCACTTTGATCTAGAGTCCAGACTCTTAAAAACACTGACAAGAAAAAATACTCTTGATTTAATCGAATTTTTTCTGAAATCGAGAACCAAGCCTCTTAATTAAAGCGGATTTCTTTTTGATTCAACCAAAAATCCTATAGAATCAAGAGTATTTTTTCTTGCCAATGTTTTCAAGCCCCGGTAAAAATTGGCAGTAGAATCTGTGTTCCAAAATACCATAGACTTACAGCCGGCTGTAAGATTTCCAATAGCTTCTATAGCCCGCAACACAATTTCTTATAGCCTTCATTTATTTTGCGAGGAAAGCTCCGTACTTTTGAAGGATGCCTGCCATTCCTGATATGTTGGAGCGCCTTCAATTTCGTATGATACTGTGCAATACCTCTGGTGTGAAATAGTTGCTTCAAGCGCCGTGGTACGCTGCGGCGCGGCGCGGCGCGGCGCCGAAACGCGCATTGACGCCTACAAACCTAACAGGGATACTTCACGCATTGCGCAATGCATGAAGTATCCTTGTTAGGTTTGTAGGCGCCAGTGCGCCGCCGCTCCGCTTTGTGTTAGCCTCTAATATTTAATCTCGTGGAGTCAGCGTTTTTCAACTCATGGCTTTGAAATGTTTGCACACTCTGTATGAATTATTCTCTTTTTAATTGATGAAAAAAAATATGTAGTAAAGGAAAATATAATGTGCGTTTTGTAAATATTAAGGTGATTCCGTACAAACTTTAGGATTTACAAAGCACACTAATTTCTACACAATTTCTTAAAGCCTTTTATAGCCGATGACGAAAAAGCAACAGCCAGGCGATAAAGTGTAAGGCCCGGCGATAGGAACTACCGCCTACTACTAAGCCGGGCTATAGCCCGGCTGTATTATTTCTTATGGCTTCGTGTAGCCCGGCCGTATTATTTCTTATGGCTTCGTGTAGCCCGGCCGTATGATTTTTCCCACTTTCTGCAGCCAGCTATATGATTTTCTATCGCCTTCTTCAGTCGGCTATAAGAACTCCTATGGTATTTTGAAACGCAGCTCCCATCGCCAATTTTTACCAGGGTCGTGCTTCCACAAGAATCGATTGCTTAGGAGCTGCGTTTCAAAATACCACAGGAATTTTGAAACGCAGCTCCTATCGCCAATTTTTACCAGGGCGAGTGTGGACTCTAGATCCAAGCTACTTTTTTTCCATTGCGGTTGTCTTAAATCGCACGTATTCAGGGACCACGGGGTTGTATAGACCATTGATCTTTAGGAATCCGAATTTCATGGCCCCAAAAGCCCCTCAGCTGCCCTTGGAGGGTGAGGGAAGGAGTAAGGTGGCTCGTTTTTGCACCTTTTTCAAAATTAAAAACGGGTAGTGAAAAGTCGGTGCTTTCAACCGTCCTGATAAAATAATAAAGAGGGGGGCTGAAAAATTATCAGGGATTTTTAGGCAAATTATTCATGATTAAGATTTCAAATAAGTAACCCACACTGGAAAAAAACACATTGAATCTAGAGTCCAGACTCTTGAAAAAATTGACAAGAAAAAGGACTCTTGATTCAATCAGATTTAAGCTTAAATCAAAAGGAAATCCGCTCAAATTAAGAGGCTTGGTTCTTGATTTAAACTTAAATCTGATTGAATCAAGAGTATTTTTTCTTGTCGATGTTTTTAAGAGTCTGGACTCTAGATCCAATGTGGTTTTTTTGGCTGNTCTCAAACTCACTCACTTCTGTTTCATCACTCGTTTACTCGCCCCCTCTGTTCGGTTTTAAACAATGCGTGCGTATAAATATGCTCCGTATAATGCAGCGTTGCCACATAGTGCAGTGTGCGCAAACGTTATCGGTAAAACTGTGCGCAAATGAAAATTCGGAATTTTGTGCGCAAACGTTATCGGTACGAAAAGTGTGCGCAAACGTCGTGCACCGGTTTTTTTTCCAGTGCATGCATTTACAGATTAAAGTATAAGCATTATACCCATCCCATAGTAACTGCATGAATGGAGCGAATTGAGATGTGTGTGGCACGTTTATTAATTGGTTTGGTTGGTTCAGCGGTCTCATTTTCAAGTTTCAAAAGGTTTTCTTGTAGAAGCTTCAGTTCAATCTTCCAAAAACATTTTTAACATAAAAAATGGACTATACCTTAAAGAATTCAGGTTCTAATTCAGAGAATGAATTGGAAACAAAAGCGACTATTTCTAAAACATTCATCCCCACCCCGCTTAGAATTCACCGCAGCGGAAGAGCCGAGTTGTGCGGCTGAGTGGATGAACGTAGAAGAAAAGATAAAAGGCCAAGGGTTGAGAATAGAAAGGAAGAGAGGACGAGAAGAGAGAACGGGCGAGTTTGGCCCGTGCTTTTTAAAATATTAATTCCTACTAAGCATTAAAACGCTAAACGTCTGCTTGAACTTTTAAGGGGCGCGGGTGACTTCTCTGGCGCTCGGCCGTATCGAAGACAATTAAAAAGAACGCTAAGGCTTGCTGTACTCTGCCGTGCTAAGGAAGAACGCCGTATGAACATTCGAGAGTTGTCAAATTTCCCTTGATAAAACATGTATTTTTGATGATATTCTTGGATATTTTTCCTTGAAATTTTCAGATATTTTAGATTAAATTGCGCACGAAATCGTCTGAAAAATTTGGAAAATAATATTCACAATTTTCCCAGAAAATTCGGTTTTTATCGAAGGAAACTTGGCAACGCCTGAAGGTTCATACGGCGTTCTTCCTCAGCACGGCAGTACTGCCGTCCTATGGAATAACGCCGTATGAGCCTTCGGACGTTGCCAAGTTACCTCCGATAGGAACCGAAACTACCGGTAAAATGTTGAATATTATTTACAGAAAATTTCAGATAATTTTTTACGCAATTTA